TTCAGATTTACCTGCTGTTTCCTCTGCCATAAAAAGGCTTTGGTTTCATTCAGTGGTGTGGTTGGTGTGTGTTGGTTGAGGAGGTGCACCACTGCGGGGGAGGTGGGCGCACTGCGATCACAGCCTCCAATATGTCAAAAGTAATTAGGCTGATCGGAGCGTATACCCTATTATGCACAGAGAGGTGTGTGCTGGGCGCTGTTAATTAGACTGATGAGTAGATGCACTCTAATAAGCCTAGCATACACTTCTTCCCTTTGAAACTGAGAATTCACAAGACGGGTTTGCAGATATGCTGTTCTTATACTCCTTGGACTGTAATTGTACAAAGATATTGAAGAGTATTGAAACAGTTTGTCAATTTATCGTGGGTCAAAGAAAATGAGTTGGCGGTATTTTTATAATCAGTTTTTAAGCTAAAAATGCCAAACATTTGCTGAGTCAAGCTCCTAGAAAGTGAGGATTTTATGCTTTTCTTTGTCACATATGACAGCAAATAAAATATGTTTGGGGTTTTCGACTGTTGGTTGACAAAACATTTATTTTGAGAATGTTACCTTGCACTTTGGGTAATTTTAATGAGCTTTTTCACCATTTTTTGAGCCATTTTCTAGACTAAACATTTCATAAAAGTGCACGTTTTTTAATCTGTGTTTTATGTGTGGCAAGATTTTTAATCTCAGTGAGGCCCTTTCCTAGTTTAATAAAATCAATTAATACTTAATACTTTTTAAATGAGCTCATGATGAAAACTATCATTAGTTGCAGCAGTAATGAAGGGAGAAAGATGATCCGACGTGTGTTAAACTACATTTTTTTTATTAATTTATATTTGCTTCATATCAAATAAGTAGTTGGATGTATTTCCGTCGCCACATTTCTCTTCCAGCACTTGGTCATAATGCTCAAGCTGTGAGCGCGATGTAATAACATGAAATGATGAATCACAGAGGTCTCCCGAGAGTTCCTGGGCATGATGGCGCAATCAATTTTCAATAAATGTATTACCAGCAAAAGTTTGTGTATTGTATGCTAAAATAGCCTGTGAATATGCCTTTAACAGCTTGTTTTGAAGTAGAAATATGGTCGTATGTTGGAGTGTGACAGTGCACAGCCATTGTTCTATTCTTTAAGCAAAGCCCTGAATCAAATCCCATCTTGCAAGACTTTGCTGGAAGGTAGAGCTTGTAATACTACATGAGCTATTCCAACATCTCTTCTGTCAACATTGTGGGTTTCTCTCTATATTAGCATTTTTCTTTTTATTCTTATTTATTTTATTTTTTTAACCCAAACTTCAAAGACATCTGAACAGGAAAAATATGCAAGGCAGAAATAAACTGAGTCTATATTCTGCTGTGGATCGGTTTTTGAAAATCTTTGTTGACAACATGCCACTAAACGCACTGAAGCTACAAATTAGATAGTGACAATTGTCACCGTTTGAGTAAGCTTTGGTCCAAGATTTTGATAGTCGACTACATTTTCGCGTGACAAGCATTTCATTTTTCCCAAACGACCTTCACTCCCAAGAGAGAGCTGAAAAACTGGGTTCCGCTGTAATTAGGCTAGCTCGCTGACAAAAAAAGAACCCAAGGTAGAGGGGGAGATAAAAGACAGGGAGGTAGAGTGAAGGAGAGGATGAAGGTGGGGAGGGTGTGAGGAGGAGGAGGAGGAGGAGGAGAGGAGATAATGAGAAGCAGGGTGACAGAATGAAAGAGTGCAAGATCAGGTTGCGAGGAGGAGAGCATGTCAAGAATCAAGGGGGGGGTTGTTTGCCTGCGGCTGCCTCATGGTGTGATGTCGTCGAATCTTCTCACCATGTTTTATTACAAAGGGGCCTCGGCGTTAGGGTCTGTGTTGTCACCGTGCCAACTAAGTTATGTCTGCTCGAGTGTCTCAGCGTGTCCACTCGCCGCTCTTTGTCGCTTTTAATTTTTTCCAACAGCAGTTTTAGTTTCAGTAAGTAAAGCAGGAGAGCCACATGAGCAAACGTGAAACATTCATGGGAGAAAAGACTTCATTTCATGCTGAAGAATCGTACAAAAGCTCACGAAACACCCACAAACCTGAAACAACAAAGGGATATTTTTTATCTATCTATCTTTTTTCCTTCTAGCATTTCTAGTGTTTGAATAAGATCTTAAATTGTGCTTAACAAGGTGGCAAAATATATTTATTTAATCAGTATTTTTACACAGGGGAATGCAAGTTTTCTTCCATAACGCCATCATCCTAAATTATGTGGTTTTCTTTCCACTTACTGTACTCCACTCAACATTAACATGTATGGACATATATGTAAAATTTGCTTCTCCCAGCCTGCCAGGCTTTGCACATACCAGACAGTAATGTGCTTAAAATAGCTCTAAGGAGTGCTCGCATAGCAATATTTTACCATTAACTCAGTGGGATCTATAATACGAAGTGACATGTTTTTACAGTGAACGTGGCCATCTGGGCTTTTGCTGTCAAGTAGTTTTGTTGTTGAGTTATCTTATATAGGCTATATATATTTTTAGGTTTCGGACATCTTTGTCGCCATCTGAGGGATACACAATTAGCATTGTGATGTGCAGTACTGTGCCAGTGTGTCACCCAGCTGTGACTTAATCAATGTGTCAGGTATGTGAGGTACCTTAACAGATAAAGCGGAGGGTGTGTGTTCAGGTGGGGGCATGAAGTCATTAGTGGAAGCCAGATCAGCTGAGTGCTACACACACTCACATAGTGTTGTCTATTTAATGAGTGAGTGATTTAACCTGTAATTTTATTTATTTATTTATTATTATTATTATTATTATTATTATTATTATTATTTCACTAAAATAATAA